TGGCTTGTCCCCCACATTCCTAGTCTATTTCCATAGAAATGGTGCCATTTGACTGGGGAAACACAACTCTGACACAGGAGCAGGGCTCTAGGATTCCCACTGGTCAAATGAGAAAACTGAGCTTGTGGCCAATGGAGAACCCACGATGCCAGCTTGAGGTTTTTGGAATGGGCCACGCCCGGCCCTTGGCAGGGAAGAAAGTATCACAATCGGTTCCTTCATTCAACACACGTGATCGAGTCCTTACAATGCAGGAGGGCCCCAGAGACTAATCAGATGCTGTTTGTCCTCAAGGAGCTCAGAGTCTAAAGGACACATAGAGACACTAGCATACATGTGCCCGCACAGGCGCACACAAGATGGGAGCCCAGGAGAGGAAGTAACTCACCGAGGGGGCGACATGAGAGCTGGCATTGAAGGAATTACTCATCTGATCAGCATTTATTAAGCCCTGAGAAAGTGCCAGGCTCTGTGCAGCGTGCTAGAAATGCACGGTGCCATCGTGGCCCCCACGGTCATGGGATTTATGACGTGTGTGTGGCAGGGGGGTCAGGTGCTGATCACAGAATCACACCCATAGGGACGCACCGGTGGGCAGTGGGTGCAACTGGCCTGGGACTGGGAGAGCGGGCGGGGTGTGCAGACCATGACAGGGAGAGGGGCTGGGTGGGCAGAATTTGGCCAGAGCCCTATCTGTCTGTGAGGGTTTTCTGGCTTCCTTGCTGGGCTGGGAGCCCTGGGGCCACATCAGGCTCACTTGCATCCAAGACCATTTCATGCACACAGAGAGGCTTTTCCTGACCAGCCAGTCTTCAGATCCTTTTCTCACACCTGGCTCATTCCTTTCATGCCCATGTCACAATGACCACAATTTCTGTGTTAACTGATCTGGGGTCAGTTTTCTCTCTACACTGTACACAGCACAGTGCCTGATGCACAGAAGGAGTTTCCATTTCTAGAAAGAAAGCTACAACACGTCAGGAGTCTATGAGATGGTGCTCGTGACACGTCAGCATGGCATTTGACACCCAGCACATTATTGTTGTTATTATTATTATATCGCCAGACAGGCATGGGGAGCTAGAGCCTCTCCCCCAAGTCTTTATAGGGGAGCATATTTCAAGGAAAGAATAATAAATCTGGATGTCCCCATCACTCCACTTCAACGTGGTCAATTTTATTAATTATGTATGTACGTATGTATTTTGAGAGAGAGAGAGAGAGAGAGAGAGAGAGAGAGCACGAACAGGGGAGGCACTGAGAAAGAGGGAGACAGAGAATCCCAAGCAGGCTCCACACTGTCAGCGCAGAGCCCGATGCGGGGCTCAAACTCTTGAACCGCGAGATCATGCCCTGAGCCAAAACCAAGAGTCGATAATTAACCGACTGAGCCACCCAGGCGCCCCAACAACACGGTCAATCTTATTTCACATATTACCCTCCAGGCCACACACCTACACACGCAAATGCATGCGAACAAATAGAACTCGTTTTATTTTGATGCAAATCCCAGACATCATTATTATTCCATATGAGAGGGCTTCTTAAAGGAAATGTCACCCATCATGTGCCCCCAAGACTGGACACAGAGCACACAAGGTGAGAGGCATTGAAATGCACAGCAATTCTCAGCACTGCCTCTTTTTTTTTTTTTTTAAACTTTTTAAATTTATTTTTGAGAGACAGAGAGAGAGAGAGAGAGAGAGCATGAATGGGGAAGGGACACAGAGAGAGAGAGACACACACACACAGAACTTGAAGCAGGCTCTAGGCTCTGAGCTGTTAGCACAGAGCCCAACGCGGGGCTTGAACCATGAACTGCGAGATCATGACCGGAGCTGAAGTCGGATGGATGCTCAACAGACTGAGCCACCCAGGCGCCCCGCCTCTTTTTTTTAAAGAAGTCTCTAGGCTCCAATTGGAAAATGAAGATAACTGTACCTGGTCTAAGAGTTGTTAGGAGAATTAAATGAGTTAACACACAACAGGGACAGTCCTGCCTCAGAGCAGTTGTTCAATACATGTGAGTCACCTCCATTATGGCATCACCGTGGTTATCAAAAGCCCTGGCTCGGGAGGCAGGCAGACTGGGTTTGCATGCAGCTTAGCTTCTGACTAGGTAAATCGCCCTAGGCATGTGACTTAACTTCCCCAAGCCTCAGTTTCCTCATCTATAAAATGGGTTCAGAATCACACCTGCCTCACAGGGTAGGGATGAGAATTCAGTGAGATACTATAGGAAAGGGAGGTCTTGAAACCACCCAGGCCCACAGAGCGGCTCATTTCTGACTGGGCGGCACAGCAAGAGCGGCTCTTCCCAGCCCTCACCGTCCAGAGGTGATAACAGGCTCGGCAAGGGGATGAGAACTGCCCAAGATCAAGGGCAGATCCAGGATGAGAGGCAGGGTCCCAAGAGCTTTGGTGGGAGATGAGACTTCTTTGCACGACCAAGTGCAAAAGAAGGTGGTGCAGGGCAGAGCCAGGCCTTCAGGAGTAGAGGGAGTCACCGCGAGGCTCGGAGAACATACCTGGAAAAGCTCTGAGTCGTCGGGACTGTACTGGCTGGGTTCAGTCTCGGAGCTCTCCGGGCACCACTGCAGCTCCCCAAAGCAGGTGGCTGAGTCAAAGTCGCTGGCGTCCAGCTGGGAGAGGTCAAGCTCGGGAAAGTCAGCGCAGAGTTGCTCCTCCCCGGACCCCCCACCCTGAGGAGACAGGAAGGAAGGAAGCGAGTCAGAGCTGGGTCCAAGCACAGACCCTCTTGCCCATGGTGCTGCCAGCCTGGGCCTCGGGCAGCCCTTGGCCAAGGCCTGATTTTGCTATGAGACCAAGAAATGTGAAGGTAGGCCCCGACACTCTTGCAGCTGTTGAAAGTACCAGGAACCAAGCCAGGCCCTGGCAATACAAATCCTGCCCGCTGCTCTCTCCCCTCCTCCTTTGCACTCCTACACATCCCTCAACGCCTCTTTCCCATAGTACCTCCCTCCTCTTACCAAAACCGTTGTGTGCAAAACTTCATGAGAAGCTGCAAACAGAGACTCATTTGCATTACTGTCCCCAGCTGAAAGGGGTTTCTGGGATGCGATATTAATAATGAAACAAACAACAGCAGTAATAATGGCTGGCATTATTGAGTGATTACAATATTCTGGAGAAATACTCAGCCACAGTCTCAGGGATTTTACAGGTGGATGTGTGTCATGTCTAAGATGTGGAAGACTGCTCATCCGTGCACAACAGGGAAACAAAACTATCACCACCTGTAGCATGGAACTGTTGAAAAGAACGAGGCAGACCTACACGCTCTCCAAGACACGTTAAATAGAAATGAAAACTAAATCATAGAAACTAAAAATCTAAAACTGAAACTAAATCATGAAAACTAAATCATATAGCGGGTCGAATATTAGCCCATAAAGAGAAAAATCGAACGACACAATTCTTTCCGTACAATAGTGCATATGCAAATATACCGGAAAAGGTCTCCAAGACTAAAAGCCACCTGACAGTGGTGAGTGGGGTAGAAGGGAGGCAGGGAGGACTGTGGCGACAGCACTGACTGAACCAGCGTTTCTCAACGTGTGGTCCCAGGACCAGCAGTGTCGACACCACCTGGGACCATGTTAGAAATAATGCAGATTCTCAGGCCTAAGCCCAGACTCACTGAATCAGAAGGTGAGGGCTTTCTCACCTGGCTCCCACATTTAACAACTACCAGTAGAAGGACAGAGAGACGGCCCAAGCTGGGAGGTGGACAGAAAGAACACAGCACAGGCCTTGGGGTCCGGCAGACCCGAGTCATAATCCCCACTCGTCAGCTGTGAAACCTGGGGCAAGTTCTCTTTTTCCCTCTGAAACTCAACTGCCTTACCTATAGAATGGGACACCTCCTGCCTCATACGGTTAAGATTAAGTAAGGTGATATTATGGTCTGGCTCAGAAGGGGCTCAATAAATGGTAGCTAACAGTAATAATAGCAAGTAAGAATAATAATATGGGGCGCCTGGGTGGCTCAGTCGGTTAAGCGTTCAACTTCGGCTCAAGTCATGATCTTGCGGTTCGTGAGTTCGCACCCCGCATCGGGCTCTGTGCTGACAGCTCAGAGCCTGGAGCCTGCTTCAGATTCTGTGTCTCCCTCTCTCTCTGGCCCTTCCCCTCTCGAGCTCTGTCTCTCTCTCTCTCAAAAATAAATAAACATTAAAAAAATAATAAATAAATAGAAAGGAAGGAAGGAACAGGGGCGCTGACTGGCTTAGTCAGTTAAGTGTCCGACTTCGGCTCAGGTCATGCTCTCGTGGCTCGTGGGTTCGAACCCCGCATCGGGCTCTGTGCTGACAGCTCAGAGCCTGCAACCTGCTTCGGATTCTGTGTCTCCCTCTCTCTCTGCCCCTCCCCACTCTCGCTCTTTCTCTCAAAAACGAATAAACATTTAAAAAATCTTTTTAATTTAAAAAAAGATAAAGAAATAATAATAATAACAATGACAACAGTGTCTCATGGTGGGCAGAGAGGGTGGAGCTGCCTTAGAGAACAAAAAAACGCCTATGTGACACTTAAAAGAAATAGGTTTTGCACAGGCCTTTTCCTTAATTGTTCCCACTTACTAAGCCTCATAAATTATGAACAAATGTATATTATTAGCTCAACTTGACACAGGAAAAAGGCTTTTATCCGAATTTGGGTCAAATGTCTTAATTGGCGTTTTGCAAGAAGCCTGTATCCACAGGCAGCACCAGGGCCAGGTTCTCTCAAGTGGCTGGTCCCCTGCTCAGACTAGGGACCATGGTGCCCTGCGGGCCTCTGTCTCCAGGGACATCCCCTCCCCAGGATCATTCCAGGCCCCGCCCAACACCCTACTACTTCTGGTCATCACGCTCAGCTGCCCTGGCCGCAGGGAACACTCAGGCGGACTCTCAGCCTCCTCTGGCAGCTTCCTTCTCCTCTGTGTCCCGACAGACTGTGCGGATGCGGCAGCCTTGCCTGTTCTAGATAGATGATCCGTTTGTTTCCAGTCCCTGGCTACCGCGAACACGTCTGCAATATGTGTGCACAAGCCTTTGCGCGGACGTACGTTTTTAGTTCCCCTGGGTAAACATTTCGGAGTGGAATTGCTGGGTCATAAATGGATGTGACTTGATAAAACGACAAAATTGTTCTCCCAAATTGCTGTGCCACAGTACATGCTTATCAGCTGTGCTGAGAGCGCCGACTGTTCCACACCCTCCCCGGCACTGGGTGTTGTCACAGTCATTTTAATTTTAGCCACGCTAGTGAGTGCGTTCCCACATTTATTAAATGCTACTATGAGCCAGGCGCCGGGACATGGAGGCCTCAGTTGATTCCTTCACAAGTTGACATCTTCGCGGGGAAGAAAACACATGCATATTTGATTACAGGTTGGGTTAGTGCCACGAAGGAAACAGGCCAGGTGCACTGACGGAGGACAAGAGAGGGAGGCGAAGTCTCTGTTAGTGGGGGGGTCAGGAAAGGCTTCCTGGGAGAGCCGACATCCGAGTTGAGACTTGGAGAAGTCAGGCAGTGGAAGACGTGGGGAAGAACGTTCCAGGCGGAGGGGCAGCAAGGCAAAGACCCAAGTGCGGGCCAGGCCTAGAGCACAAGGCACCGACCAAAGGTTGGTGAGGCAGCAGCTCGGGGGGGGGGGGGGGGGGGGGGGGGGGGGGGGGGAAGATGCCTTCAGAGAGGCAGGTGGAGGCCGGATCAGGTGGGGATTGGAAGGGATTTGGGTTTTACTCCAAGCGTGATGGGGGTGGGGCCAGCAGGGAAGCAGGCGGATGTGGCATCCAGGACAGGGGCAGGTGGCGGGGCTGGGAGGTACCACTCAGGCAGGCAGGGCGGGCACACGGAGGGCCTGTGGAGTGGGAGGGAGGGCCAAAGCAGAGACACATGAGTGCTGAACGTGCTGAACAGCTAGTGTCTCACTGCCCCTGGGGTCTCATTGGCCGGCAAAGCCCTCAGTGATGAGCTCCCTTGGGGAGTTCTCTCTGTGTCCCGGATCCCTCTCATCCCTGTAACTCAGAGAAGCCACATCTGTAGGACTTGCTTCTTGAGGCCTAGAAACCCAGACTGGCGAGGAACCAGCCGCCCTGAGAGGCTGTCCAGGACAGTCACCGTGGACGATCTGGGAGTCAGAGGCCCCTTCACGAACCAGACGAAAGCTATGGACAGCTTTTAGGTTACCCATTAAATATGTCTGAGCAACACGTGTGCGTGCAAGAAATTCATACTTCTAGGCCTTCACGAACGCAGCCTAAGGACTCCTGGCCGGCTGGCCTACCTCCTTCACTTTGCAGATATGGAAACTGAGGCCCAAAGAGGATAGTAGATTTGCTCAGGGTCATCCAGGGAGTGTCCTTCCCATCAAAACCATGCCACCTCCTTTACAAAACACCCATAAAATGGCAGTGACTGCTGCACTTATCGATTAGCCACAGCAGCTCGGCATACCCTAAGTATACCCAGGACACAAAAATAAAGAAACCTCAGCTTCGCGGCCTTGGCAATTAGGGCCGAGGCCACTCTCTAGCTAAAAACCATTAAGCACTGCGTTAATAGTGATTTCTCTGGCCCTCTCCGTATTTGGAGAGGCTTTTGGAAGGGGTGCCTCGGGTGACCCAGTTCTCTTGGAAAGGTCTGACTTGAGGCCTCCTTGTTCCTTACCAGCCACCTTCTGCGGGCCCCCCTAGCAGAGCTGGGAGGTCACAGCACAGGACTGACTACAGCCACTGCTATTACTGAGCGCTTACCAAACGCCGAGGGCTGCACTAAGTACCTTATGCACATCCTCTCATCAGATTCCTAAAATAACCCTCCAGGGCAGATGTCATTGTCCCGTTACTAATCAGGAAACTCAGAGAGGGAGTCACTCTCATTAGTTGCCCAGGGCTGCTGTAACCAAGTGCCACAGGCTGGGTGGCTTCATTTTTTTTTTTAAGTTTATTTATTCCTTTTTGAGAGAGCCAGAGCAAGCAGGGGAGGGGCAGAGACAGGGGGGTGGGGGAGAAAGAGAGAATCCCAAGCAGGCTCAGTGCCGTCAGCACAGAGTCCAATCTCACAAACCATGACCCAAGCAGAAACCAAGAGTGGGACGCTTCACTGACTGAGCCACCCAGGTGTCGTTGGCTGGGTGGCTTAACCAACAGAAATGTTTTCTCTTCCCGCTCTGGAGGCTGGAAGGCTGAGCTCAAGGTTTTGGCAGGGGCGGCCCCTTCTGAGGCCACTCTTGTTGGCTTGTGAATGACCTTCTCCCTGTATGTCTTCCCACCGGCTCCCTCCCTCTGTGGGTGCCTGTCTCTGTGTCCACATTTCCCCTTTTGATAAGGACACCAGCCATGTTGGATTAGGGTCCATGCTAATGACCTCACTTGAACTAGATGACCTCTGTAAAGACCCTATCTCCAAATCAGGTCACATTCTTGAGGTACTAGAGGGTTAGGATTCAAACATCATCTTTTGGAAGACACAGCTCCACCCACAGTACCCAGGGTCCCAGAAAGGCGAAGCTGAGATTCCAAGCCAAGTCTCTTTGTTCCCTGCAAAGCCTGTGTTTTTTTACTTCTGAAAGTGAGAAGGAACATTCAAGACCATTTATTCCCATTTACAGATAGGAAGGTGGAGCTTCAGACAAGATCTGAGAAAGATCCAAGTCATGTGGCAGGTTCACGGCTGCACAGGAACAGGTGTGGGG